ATCCCCCCATGCCAAGGTGCTAGGTGTGATTCTTAACTCCAACCTCATCTTTCTGTCATACATCCAATCACTATCCAAATTCTGCTGCCTTCACCTTCGTAACATCTCTGAAATACGCCCCTTCCTAACCAATGAAGCCACAAAGCAACTCATCCACCCACTTGTTATCTCTCATCTTGATTATTGCAACTCCCTCCTCACTGGCCTACCTCTGCACAGGCTATCCCCCCTTCAGTCTACCATGAGTTTTGCTGCCAGACTCATCCACTTTACCAACTGTTCGGTGTCTGCAACCCCACCTCTCCCAGAAATTTGAAGAAGACTACAATGAAACATTCGCTACTGTAGTAAAACACTCCACCATCAGAACACTCCTTAGCATCACAGCCGGGAAGGGCATGCAAGTGAAACTACTAGACGTTAAAACCACTTTCCTACATGGAGACATTAAGGAAGATCTCTACATGGAGCAACCACCAGGGTTTGAGCAAGGACACAACTTTGTGTGTAAACTACACAAGGGCATCTACAGACTTAAGCAATCTGCAAGAATGTGGAATGAGAAAGTGAATGAAATACTCATGAAAGAGGAAATCACAAGAAGCAAAGCAGTTCCCTGTCTTTATTCCAGGAATCAAGAAGACAGATGGACATACATCCTAATTTACGTTGATGACATTATAACTTGTTTTGAAGGGGACTATAGTCAAATAGTTCACAAACTATAACAAAAGAGCTAGGCAACATCAGTCACTATCTGGGAATTCAAATAGAATTCAACCAAATGTAGAAAATTGCAGAAAGTTTGGAACACATACATATGCAAGATGCAAAGAAAGCAAAAGCACCTATGGAACCAGGCTACCAAATGAGCAATGAAGCAGAAAACTTGTTACCCAACAGTGACATGTACCACAGAGCAATCGGAAAGCTACTTACATTACCACTCTGACAAGACCAGACATAGCGGCAGCAGTGGGCATACTCGCTAGAAAAGTCGCAGCACCCTGTCAGTGTGACTGGAATGCAATAAAGAGGGTAATACAATACCTAAAAGGAACAATTCAGATTAAGCTATGACTGCCAGCAGTGTCAAATCCAAAACTAGTTGCCTATGCGGATGCTGATTGGGCCGGTGACTGCACAGACCACAAATCCACAAGTGGTTACATCTTCCAATATGGGGAAGGAACCATAAGTTGGTCTAGCTGAAAACAAACAACTGTTGCACTTTCCTCAACTGAAGCTAAATACATAGCAGCAGCACATGCTTGTCAAGAAGCAATATGGATTCGCCAGCTTTTAATGGAAATGGGTATAGACATGTCATACCCCATCCCAATCTTTGAAGACAACCAGGTATGTATAAAGCTGACACAATCTGAAAGGGTCAACCCTAGAACCAAGCAAATTGATGTTATGTATCATCTGCTTAGGGACACTGACGAGCAAGCTATTATCGGCATGCAATATTGCTCATCGGAAGAAATGACTGCAGATGCATTTACCATGCCATTGTCAAAGAATAGACACAGTTTCCTTCGTGAGAAGCTGAACGTCATATAGCAAACGCATATGCTGTTGAGAAGGGGTGTTGGAAATACAACAACATACACTGATTTGTATTACTGACATTCAGAGATGTAATATTGTCTTTTGAGCTGTAGATGGCGCTGTAGTGCAATGTTAATCTCTATGCTTATGCATTTTTATCTATGATATATATGTTTCCTGATAAAGCTGTATTCCTGTATACATACATGGAATGTCCTGCTAAGCAAGTAAAACTTAATTCAGCATTCCTCAAGATCTCAGTGCTTCATCTAAACACATAACCGACAGATGTAAGCCTAGTTCTCGAGCTATCCCTAAGTGTGTCCTTTCTTTACGAAAATCACAAGTTTCAAAGTTCATGAAAACCAGAGCATGTAAAGGAAAACCAATTTCATATTTGAAATTAGCCATACTGCCAGAAAAGTGATGTAAAGTTTTTACATCACTATTAAAAAAAGTCCTGTCCCCAGTTTCTGAAACGTTACGGAAGAATTACCAACAGATTACAGATGGGAAAACTGGTGGTAATTAGGATCAACTTTGATCTGCGTATGCTGAAAGCTGTTGTGAATCTGACACCTTCCCATTTCCCAATTATGCTTTTAGATTGTAAGCTATCATGGGCAGGGCCCTCCTAACCATCTTGTTTTTATATTTTATTTTGACTGTAATGTCTTCCTTAAATTGTAAAGCACTGTGCAAATTGTTGGAGCTATATAAATCCTGTATAATATAATAAATATAATAATGCATCTCTGACCCCATTCAGCTGCCAGCAGGAAGATTCCCCACCTGCCAGCTAAATGTGAACAAAGGGCCAGAGGTTGGTGGCTGACATCATTATCCAAATATGGCCATATTTGGGTAGTGATGTCAGCCAGCATCCCCCTTGTTTACATTTAATTATCTTAGTACCATTGAGTGGGCATAATCTGAAAGTTGGAGTTACCCATCAAGTCTGCCGTGCTGTTGATCAACAACAGGCAGTGGGTGGGTGTCATAGCCAATATCAGGCTGACTATGGCACCTGCCCACTGCCTGCTGTCAATCACCAGCAGAGCGGGCCTGATGGGGAACTCAGTTCTCTAAATTCCACATCAGGCTCTGCCCACTGTTAGTGTCACTGTTCATTAAGGACACAGTTGGCTTTAGCCAACAGGTTCCTTAGCAACCAGTGACACCCACTGTTAGTGTCACTTGTCGTTAAGGACACAGTTGACATATGACAACAGTTTCCTTAACCAGCAGTGACACCCACTGTTAGCATCACTGGTCATTAAGGACAGAGTTGGCTTTAGCTGACAGCTTCCTTCACGACCAGTGACGCCCACGGTCAGCGTCATTGGCCATTAAGGATGCTATCAGTGATATCCACTGATATCACTGGCTGCAACAACCAGTGGTGCCCACTATCAGTGATCCTGGCAGTGAACGGAGCCTCATGGGGAATTCAAAGAACTAAGTTCCCCATCGGGTCTGCTTTGCTGCTGATTGACAGTAGGCAGTGGGGGAGGCAAAGCAAATATCAGTATAGCCTATGACACCTACTGACTTTCTGCTGTCAATCTGCAGCAAAGCGGACCTGATGGGGAACTCAGTTCTCTGAATTCCCCATCAGGCTCAGCCTACCCACAGTATAAGCCTTACACTGCACCTTCCTTTATGATTTTGCTTTGCTATATCGGTATGGATATTCTTTCCTTAATGCAGCTCAGCAAAGCTGAGCTATCATTTTTAGGTGTATGAAACCTTTAATATGGCTTTATGGTACATTTTAAAGCTTAATTCTGGCCTGTTATAAAATGTACCCAAGTAGTTTCCCCCCACCCACTGCAATCATACTGCATGGGTGTAAATGCTTGTTTTGTCTACGGGATGAAAAATAAGGAAAATTACTTACCCTTAATTCACTCATGTAGGCTTTTTCCCTGCAGTACGATGGGTGCCCATAAGTCCCTTCATTCCTGCGTCACCAATCGCAGGCTATCCAATGTCCTCACGAACTGCTGGTCCTGCATTGTTTGTGAGGAAGTGTACGAGAGGTAAAATGTGGCAGCTACCAGGGAAGTGAGGAATAAGGTAGGTTTTTGTACTACTTTCCAATCCCCCTTGACAAAACAAGAATTACACTCAAGCAGCGTGAGAAGGACTCACCGGATTGGTATATTTTACACCAGCCTCATGTTCACCTTTAAAGTAGAAACGGGACTAGGCTATGGATGTTCAATTATTGATATATTCTAAGACAGCAGTAAATGCACTTTAGTGGGACTGCTGGGTTACAAATTATAACAAAGTAAGGCCTGCAAATAGACTTTGGATTCAGCTGTCCTGCCACCCACTCCTCCAATCTTTGTTCTGTTCAGGAACTATGGCTGCCTGAGAAGTCTTTACATTCCACACTTCCAGGAGTGTCAGATGCCTGTGTCCCCTGCAGTGCACTAAAGATCCTTCTGCTAACCCCTTCTCTGACCTATGCTGGCCAGCGGAAGTAATCAAACTGTTCACCTGAGGATAAGGCATCCAACAAACTTGGATGTGCATCGGATGTGAAGAGGCCCTTGCTCTGAGAGAGCAAAGATCAGAGAAACAGACAGCAGGTAAGTACAGAGGCTTTTCTTTTGCTTTGGTGCATTTTAAAACCCAACATAGTCACTTTAAAATAGGCCCTTACTGACCTCTGTAACTGTATACAATGTGCCATAATTTACTGTCAAATGTAAATAAAAAAACACTTTCACCTTCATTTCAGGAGCTCAGTTCATTCTATCAACCTCCCCTCCCCCTGCCTTCCCAGCACTGATTTGTATCTTACAGCCTTCCAATCTCTCTTATGTAAAACTAGAGTAGGTTCACAGAAAGAGGGGGAGCACAGAATGCTGAGACTTATAGGTCTTTAGCTCTTCTCTTGAGAAATTTCAGGATGGATTGCTCCACAGTGTCTGCAGTTATAGAGGTCAGTGAAGGCATGTTGTAAAGCTTATTTACTTCCTTTAAGAATATGTAAACATTTAAATGTCCAGAGCCTAGTCACAATTTTCCTCAGGGCATTATTGACTAGATTGTACTTATGTTACTAAACTACAGAGAGCACAGCCCGTTTGCTATAAAGTACACAAAACTGCACTTAACTCCATTTCGGCATTTGAGAAAAAAAAATCCTTATAATTGAATCCACCTTGTAAAGTGTTAACTTTCTATGAATGGTTTTTAGCATACATCATGCTTGGTAAGTATAAGTTGTTTCCATATTTACATCTAAACAAAACAAAAAAACACAAATTCTGCCACTAATGCAGATTATTGTTTATTTTATGTCATGTTGATTTAGTTCTCAAATTTTTTTTGCTTTCCACTTTGACTCTTTAACTATTTTGGCTGTTAAAGATGATGATGATGACGATGATGACGATGATGACGATGATGATGACGATGAATACAAAGATGGTTCTCTGTGCCACTACTGCTCATTCTGCAAGGTAAAGTGTCTAATTTGCATATATAAGGCCAGGCCAACTGGACTTCAAAAGACAATAATTACTAATTGGAACTGCAGGCATATACAGTATATAAAAAATACCCTTTATTTCCATTGTGTATTTATTTAAAAAATATATTTAATGTCTTGTAATTCCTGCTCAGCCAATCTCAGGCTGAGAATGATCAGAAATGCACTGTGAACCAATCAAGCCGTAATATGGAGAGTGGTGGCTCTACCCACCTCGCCTGCAGATCATGTCAAACACAAGTCCGAGGACAGGCCACAAAGGTGGTCACACCTTAACACGTGGGCAGCACATTGACAGATGTAAATGGTAATTGGAAAATGCTAAGTATAAATATTTACTTACTCAAATTCGCTGACCAACTGCATCTGCATGCAGAATGTCTGTTGAAATGCATTAAAGCAAATTGTATTATGGTTTTTTTTCATTGTCTTTTATGCAACAGCACTAAAGTCAGATAACAAAATCAAATACTGAATATAGTATTAGAATTCTGAGAGAACATGTCAGAATACTGACATAATAATATGACAGTTGTGCAGTCACATGCATCGTTGACATTCTTGAATTACTGACTAGAAATAAGCATGTGGCAAGTTAGGTCAGAGTGAAGCCAAATGGGTGACCTACATGTACAGATGTCAATAGAAAAGATTGGCAGCCAGGCTCTTAGCATTTTCAGAGGAAAAGGTCACCAATGGCAGCCTGCATTTTATTCTCATCACAGACTTTCTTTAAATCATCTATGTCTGTCAAGTACAACAATGCGGTACATCTGTATGCATTAGGTTTTAGGCCTGTAGGTTTGCTGTTACAGTCATGATGGGGTGTGGTTCTCCCTATGGAATTTTACCATATATTGAGAGATCAGGAGGTGCAGGAACACCCATTGTATAGCAAGAGGTGAGACAACTCAGCTCACCAGCCTCCACCTATAAATGAAATGTATTTTTCAGTAAAACCTGATGCATAGTCACCTGTCTGTCTGAACACTTGTGTGCATGCAAATGTTACCTTTATCCATTGACAATTACATCAAGAGCTGCTTTGAAACAGACAGTTCAGAACACAAAAATACAAGTTACTTTTACTAAGTTCAGATTGAAAGATTTCTGCAACTTAGTAGGAAGTACTACATTAGAGTAAGGCATACAGGGCATAAAGGAGATGCTCTACTACACTATACATTATTGTTGTCATCCTATCATGTCTTATACATAAGTAGCTAAAAATAAGTGCCTAGGCAAAGTTACAATGGTAGGGAGAGTGGGAGGTGGGTGGAGTAGTACGGGGAGGTCCTCAATAGTGTAGTGATGTTTATTTACTGTGCAATAAACTGGCTGGTCCAATAAGCTGAACTGCAAATAATGATGGCAGGAGTATGCAACTAGCAAGAATGGCAGGAATGCAAATATTTGGCTAGCAGAACAGATTCCATTAATATTTTCCAACCTTGTAGTTAGGTGTTTGGAGTGTTGGGCAGAGTTCCACTAAGTTTTAAGAAACTAGTTCCGAAGAAAGTGTACAGTAACCAATTGAATTCCTGATACCAGAGGCGTAACTAGAACCCTCAGGGCCCCGGTGCAAGAAACCATTAAGGGGCCCCCAACCCCCCACCGCCATGGTACAGTGTGGTTAACAGGAAGGCTGCTGAGGCCCCAGCAAGCGCTGGACCTCAGGCAGCTGCTTCAGTTTAAAAATGTAGTGCTAGTGTTCTGTCGAGAACGCTGACCCAGTATCTGCGCTTGCACACAGACGGGATTAACAAGGAAACAGGCATTTATTTACAAAGTGTTAGTGTGTAATTGTTAATTGTGACCGTTAATAATATGCCATGCATGGCAGTAAACAATGAATGGCATATTATTAACGGTCACAATTAATGATTTAAACAAAATACTTTGTCAAGAAATCCCTGTTTCCTCGATAATACTGGTCTGTGCGCAAGCGCAGATGCTGAGGTCAGCAAATTCGACTACGTCGGCGTTCTCGACAGAACACTGGTATCTGCGTTTAGTATCGAGATATTTTCACGAGTATGAGTACTTGTGAAAATGCCCGGTATTGGCACTGACTGGCGCATCCCCACTTAAAAGTATAATGCATTGCTGGGACTTGCAGTCCTGCATAGTTGGTGCCTCTCCAGCCCAGCTGCCCGTACATGCTGCGTGTGACAGAGCAGCGGGGAAGGAGCGGCACTATCTGGGGGGGGGGGCCTCTTCTTCTTCTCTGCCCCCCCCCCAACCGGCGGAACGCCAGGGCCCAATCGCAATTGCGACCGCTGCGACCCTCTGGTTGTTCTTGATAAGTAGTGCTTCTTTGGTGACCGTGTTGACCAATGAGTGCTTGCCATTGTGGGGCAAAATGCAAAAATACAGAGCACAGGGCTGTGCTGCCATGCATGGGACATAATGCAGCGGCACCAGTGGAGGGGAAGAAGTATTCTACCAAAGGTAAGTATAGCGGGGGAGAGGGGGTAATTTCATTTTCTTTTTTGGGTGTAAAAAAGGGAGCAAAAAAAAAAAAGGGATTGTGTGTTGGGACAGACTGCTGCATACTTGCATTATGTAATAGAGTGGAATATAATGTATATGGGGAGCTCAACTTGAATAGAACACAACAGTGTAGGATGTGATCTGCATGCAGTCCAGTGTATCTTAAAGTAATGTTTTTTTTCACCCTCAGCACTGCGGTGACTGTGAGAAGTGTCCCTGTGAAGAGAATGATAAGAGTGAGCACTGTAAAAACTGTGAGGTGAGTCTTTTCTAAATTCTTGGAAGAAGACTGTATTGAGACATCATGCTAGCCTAGGCACATCTAATAGTAATGCTCTTTTGTACAGTCTTTCCCCCTATCTTTCACCCTTTGTGTCATTTGACATTAAAACTAACCCTGGAATAGGATTAGTTGCTTTCTGGTTTATTGCATAGCTACTTTTCAACCATAAAGACCATCAAAAAGAAAAGAGAGATGATTACATGTTTCTTAGCTGTAGCTATATCCTGCAATGTTTTATTTAAAGTTTGTTGAGCTGGGTGGTGTCTGCAGGGCACAGGAATTGGGTGAAGAGGGATGGATAAGTGGCCCGCAGTGCAAATAGTCTGCCTCCAGGGCTGCTCATCTGTCCCTATATGGATGTAAATGCTGGGATGTGTATACTGTGGTGAAATGTGTCAGCCTGTTATTGATTTGTATAGACTGATACCCACGGCTGTACCCAAATTTCTGTGACACCTATGCACTGCACACTTCACACTGTATGGCCCTCTGCACCCATTTAAATGAGGCTTCAGAAACTTTTTGTGCATCTTTAGACTGCCCATCTGTCGGTGTATATTGATTATACTAGTGTTTGGACACCAGGCCTGAAGGAAGTAAACAACTCTGACTCCAAATGCTCATGTGAACTGACAACAATGATATCTATAAATGTCTGTGACACTTACAAGCACCCTAAAGGTGTTAACACCGTTATTTGCAAATAACGTCTTCATAAGGACTAGTATTCTGAGCAGATGTATTAGACACAAACTTACAAACTTTGGTTAATTTTCTTTAATTTTCCATTCTCGATCCTTATCAAAAAAATTTATGGCAGGGATCCCAACCTGAAAGAAGCCATTTCAGGGAGGTGTCCTTCTCATTTCAGGGAGGTGCTCTCTATGCCCCCCCCATCCACAGAGGGGGGTTAGGGGGGCTGGGAGAGAACACCCCCCTGAAATGATGGCAGATAGCACAGGAAGCATAGCTAGATTCCTATTGGCTATTGCACTTTGCAATAGCCAATAGCAAACTAGCTATTGCACTCGCCCTCTGCTACTTTCAATCACCAGAAGAGGACCTGATAGAAAAATTCAGGTCCCCCTCTGCTGATTGACAGCAGCAGTGGGCGGGTACATTACCTAGTTTGCTATTGGCTATTGCAAAGTGCAATAGCCAATAGGAATCTAGCTATGGATTCGTATGCCTTTTTGTTTCTTTTCTGACTGACGGTCGGGCCGCGGCTCCCGATGTCAGAAAAGAAAAAAAAAAACGATCGCAGGGAAAGGTTTATCTGCTCGATCGAGCAGATAAACCTTTCCGGGAGGAAGTGTTTCTCTCCCGGGCGGCCGGGAGCCGCTATCCAATAGCGGGAGACTCCCGGAGCGTCCGGGAGAGTTGGGATGTCTGTTATGGGCGTACTGTATCTCTGTGTAGAAGAGTCCACAGATTCTCTGGTGGCTTATTCAGCAAGAAACCATGTCCTCTTGTCTCTTGTTGGTAGTCTGTTCACATAAATAATGGATGTGCCGATAATGAAGGCATCATGCATATTATTCTTAAGACTTTAATAGTTCAGTTATTTGCTGTGGGTGGGTTCACTGCGAGACAAAAGCACTAATTGGCTGATTAATCCTGAGCCTGAATGCCTCTGTCTCATACAAAACCTGCCCTCAAATGTGTTAGATAATCTGAAATGTCAGAAAAGCAAAAGCCAGTCTGACCTCGGGGAAACATGTTAAACAGGTAAACATTTCTTACCTTTGAGGTTAAGGTCTGAGCACAGAAAGAAAAAAAAGCATATTCAGATATTCAGTACATATCTGCAATGCATGCACATTTACTATGTTTTGTCTTTTTGAAAATGCTGTTAAAAAAAAGTTAAGAAAACCTCCTAATCCTGACAGAAATCCAGTGAGCCCTTAACTCCCTGTTTAAGCTGACAACTTTGCTTCTGCTGCACTGTAATCCCAAGCATTGTTATTAGCCTTGCTTGAGATTTCCTTTCCTGGGTGTCAAAACACCTCCCCATTATTTATTGATTTATTAATTACAGGTATTTATATAGTGCAGACAATTTATGGAGCGCTTTACACATTCACATTAGTGAATGAAACATAGATTCCCTGTCTTCTTTCTGTAAATAACAGTTGCCTAGCTTTCATGCTAGACCACTAGCTTTATTACTTTCAGGGCTACTCATCAGAAAGTGAAAGGAAATTTAGAAATCCTTATTTGCATACTTGTTTATGGTGAAATGACAGCCAATAACCCAATATAGGAGTAAGAAGTGCCAGGAAATGTCTAAAGGCATACCTTCCTGAATAATCACTGTACCCTTTATTTACACTAGGTTATTGATGCACTTTGAGGGGCTCCATGGCCAGATTTGTCACTTGCTGCGCATCCTTAAAGAGATCTAATTTACCTATCAAAATTTCCAAACATTGAAAAAACCCAGGAAATATTCTCCTGTATGAAAAATCTTGTTTAGAGGTTTTGTTCCGAGTGTAAGGCCATTTTCCCCATAGGGTCAGATTTGGCAGTCACTTTTCCAGAGATTTTAGGGTTCTTCGCAGTTACAAGTGGTACGGGACGTGAACTTACGACTCATAAAATACCCTATGACCACAGGCACAGTTATTGAAGGGGTGCTCTTTCCCTCAGGGCAAGCTTCCACAATCAATAGGCTGGATTCTTCTGGTTCCCCCAATAGTTACCACACAGGAATCCTCTTTCTTAAGTAACCCGGGCAAAGCTCATAAGTGTGCAATCTGACACAAACTTTTACTTTTTCTAGGACACAGGGTAGACATCAGGCACACCACCCCTCACTACATAGATAGTGCTTACCTCCCCCTTCATTTCTCCAGCCCATATAAGAAGAAAGTAAATTTAGGTGCAGTTAAAGACATTAAAACCTTACTCCAGAAGGAGAAAAAACACAACAGCCTTTCCTGTATCAAACTGATACAGGAAAGGCTTTTTCAGCACAGTGGTACAGTCAGCAAGGTCCATGCATGATGGCAAACATGTTTTCTCTTTAAAGGGTAACTCTGGTGCTCAATTAGCCCCAAAGAAGTGCAAACATACTCTCCCAAGGTAACTCTTTCTCTCATATGGAGGACATCTTCTCCCAAGTGGGTACTCACAGAGCATGGCACAATTCCAATTACTAGCCCATTTCTCCAGTCATTACAAAATATTTCTCTGCTCAATCCATGGGCGAACTCTCAACCAAGGTCCACCCAACTGCCTTTTTATAGCCTATCCTCCAAGTCCTAGAGTGACTGGCCCATTAAACGACAACCAAAAGCCTGAGATCTTCTCTAAAAGGGCCGTAAATTTAGATCCAGCTCCACCTATCACACTTACTATCACTTCAGAATGACAGCCATGCACCTAGATTTTTCCGGAGATGTGAGCATTGGTATCCCCCATGTATCTCTCATAACAGAGTTTTGTTTAACCTCAAAGACCTTTGAAATGTGATTCTTGCCTTTTCAGTGCAATCAGTTTTCCACTGTGAATCCCTGCAATCCTTAACTGAGATCTTACAACATTCCTGATATGTAATATATAATACACTGATATATATGTTTATACTGGTTAATTTCTTATTAACAAAGAAGGTAATGATTTGTTTTTTTACTTCCATGAACTGTGCAAACTGCTTTTTTCCATGCATAAGCTATAGTTTGTTTTGAAGCCAATATAGTGTATGTTTTTAATTTATATAAGAATTTAATGACTAGGGAAGATTTTAAATGAAGTAAAGTCAGCCAAATTTAAGAATTTAAATTATAAATAGACTATATAGTAGTTTAAAGACATTGGTCCAATATATCCATACCATAGGACAGTTCAACTATATTTGAAGTACATCTCCCACAGTGTTGCCACCTCCGAGACATTTTTTTCAGTGTGTAGAGTGGAGATGCGCAACTCATGGGTAAGGCTGATTCCATTGTGCTAAAGTTGACACAAAGCTATAAAGGACCAAGTCTGTTGCCATTCCCCTTGGTTTTATTAGAACCCATTTTTTCCCCATTTAGAAACATAAGCATGATTTGTATGGGTAATGGGTTAAGAGTAGAATATACAATGCATATAATCAAACCCTGAATGTACATGTCAAAAAAATTATTAATGAAAGCGACACTGATGCCTTGGAGTTTCCACTGATGCATAAGTGAGAACTAAGGTGGTTTTTTTATATTAGAGGAATAAAACCCATCTGGTCTCCTGGTTCAGTTAGATTCAAATTTATATTTGCTGCTATTACTTCTAAGATGGTGAAATCTGTTTCCATGTTTATTACCATTGTCTGTATACATTTTGGAAGTGAGATATTTTGAGATAGGTCATCTGCAAATGTCTGTAGAATTGAAGGGGGATGTTATAGCATTTGGTTAGTAGGAAACATTTTGTGGTTTTAGATGGGTCAATAGAAAGAGATGTCATTGGTTTTGGGGGCGTTTGAGAGCTAAGTTGGTTTTCCAGCACTGGCCTAGTGCTGCCACAGCTAGTGTCATATTTTATTATTTCTGCTGTTTCAGTTACACTGCATATGTATTACATTGCATTTCATTGTGGTGTGCTGTATTCCTAGCTACTAGTGGTATATTAGCATTGTTACAGCCTAATCTGTGTATACTTTGGTATCTTCCATTCACCCCTGCTGTTTTCTGTACATTGGTGCAGTGTTCTGTTAGACCTTCCCATCCTCCCTTTTCACATTCTCTTTCTGTATCATCCCTCACTGAGGTAAGAGGGTCTCTATTTAACGTGTTAATGGCAAAGATGAGTATGTCTTTTCACTCTAAGAATGACAAGGAATCACATCCTCTGCACTGAGAAGGCTGAATAAACTACTGTACATTGGATTCTACTCTGATTCTTCTTATCAAGTTGAACACTATCTGTAAATATCACCAAGTCAGTAGGTTGTCATACTATCCATACAGATGAGTCTCAGGAAGGTATGTGCAAATACATAAAGCGGTGGTTGTAACAGAATAACTAGGTTTGTTCACTTTTGGTGGCATAGCTCGATGTTTGCATTATAAAAGCTGTGGCTTTTTCAAGTGCGCACGCCTTTGCAGATAGATAAATCTAGGGTTGGCTTAGGTACATTACGGAAAGTTAAATTCCATTATGTGGTGTCAGTCTTTAAAAGTCAAGAGGAGCACTAAGCTGTACCGCAACTCTAGTGGTTAATATGGTAATATGCATTAACCCACAACAATCAATTAGAAATTGTCTTTCTGTGATCATCTGTTTTAAACTAATGACAAGTGAGTACCCACTGGCTGTTGGGGTTTAATTCAGTTTGCATTATCATTGCTCTTTGCATTGTTTTATTAGGTGGTCTATAAGCAATGGAAAAAAATTATACCTGCATAAGTGTTGAACGTTTTGCAGTGACAAATGTAGTAAATCATCTTCTTTTTGCAGTACTGCAAGTTTTGCTACGTGTGTCCAGTTATATGTGAGACAGCCTGCAAGCCCGGTAAGTCACAAGAACATTTACATGATATTATCTACATGATTTTGCAGTTCTGTAGGAAAGTGCTTGTATTCAACAGAATAAGCAAAACACTGTGGGCCCATAATGTGCAGTAAACACAAGTTACCACAGCACTTAGTAGCACATGTTACATGCAATGGTGCACCATGGTGCAGTTAATATTGAATGACACCCCAACATACCTCCACAACACGTGCACTGTAAAGCACCACAGCACATCACAATGCATGGTTTCCTGTGTGGTGCACTGTGAAAAATACAGCATGCACTATTTTCTTATTTGCAGAAAAACTAGCCTCAATGCATGAAAATACTGTACATGTGAATGGTGCCCTATAAGAAACATTTCTTGCTGCCTATAGTAACCAAATAGCTTTCATTAACGTAGTTCAAGGGTTCAAAATGTTTAGTGGTGATGATAACATCAGCACTAAACTTATTACTGTAAACTCCCTAAAAAGACTAGAGGACACCACCTAAAGTTGGTGGAGAAAAAATTTAAGCACAAAGGGCGTAGGGGCTTCTTTTCAGTTAGAACAGTTACATTTTGGAACTCTCTGCCACAAGCAGTGGTATCAGCAGAGAACATTGACTTATTCAAAAATTAATTAGATACCGTCCTGAGAGAACATAATATACAGGGGTACAGGTACTCTTAACTACTAGTTCACACAGGGACTCATATACAAAAGCACCCACAACTCACACACAGACACACAAAGGTTGAACTTGATGGACATGTGTCTTTTTTCAACATCACATACTATGTAACAAAAAGATATTCCTATTGCACACTTTAGACAAATCACCCTTTAAGGCAGACCTGTGCTTTGCCTTGCAGGGCAAAGTAAAATGTTCTCTCAATTGCCCACCCCTCCTGCTGCTTATACTTGCCTTCAGCAGTGGTGGAAATATCAGCTGTGTAGATACTGCCCCTGCCTTTATTTGGCCCCAGAACCTCAATTATCAGGAGTGCGTTCAGTGACTGATCTGAGTTCAAAGTCTATGGTCTGCATGTCCAGAAAATCTCTTTTTTTTTTTTCAGTTGAATAACCACAGACTACCAATTAATGGGGGCCCAATTCCCACCAACACCAATGAAGGAGTCCTTCTTCCAATGTTACTAATGTAATAGGGCCTTTTACCACTGAACTTAAATGGTAGGGCAACCAACAAGGTAGTGGGGAAATTAGTACTTATCTCCAATGTGACGGGGCATATACACTGACTACCAATGTAACAGATGCATTTTCAATAACCAAACATGTAACAAGGGAATTAATAGTAACTACCAATTTAACAAGGACATATAGACTAACCACAAATGTAATGGGGGCATATACACTGACTACTAATACAACAGATGCATTTACACCAACCACCAATATAATGAGGGAATTTATACTGACCAATCTGAGGCAGAATTTACACTAACCACCAATGAAAGGGGGAATTCACACTAACTAACAATGTAACAGGGACCTTTTAAACCCTTTTACATTGGTGGTCAGTGTAGAAATACACTTTTACAAGAATTTCTATGGGCATTAGCAGGGGTGTGCTGGGGAACGTTAATTAAGGGAAAGGTCATAATTTGCTGAATGAAATTGAAAAGAGCATTCCTATGGAGGTGGCTGAATACAGAGCTGGGTTAAAGTCAAACAGGGTCCGAGGCATGCTCTAGACCTGCCACCTATGCATCAATATAAAACAGAGACATGTGCCTTTTATGGAGACATCAGGGATCTATTACTCCCCAATCTGCACCTTACTCGGCCGCTAAAGTGCTCAGATCTAAGAAGCTATATAGCCACCCAAACCACTACTGCGTAGTACAGAAAGGTCAGCTGCTAATATTAAACAGCTTTTCTATATCTGTGGCGCCCCGGCGCCCACCGTGCTCTGGGCACATGCCTAGGTCACCTTGTGGGTGACCTGGTCTTGGCCAAATATGAGGGAGCCTCACTTTACAGGGGTTTTTGGTGGTTGAATATGAAGGGACCCCACATAAAAGGGAATGCTGGTGGTTGAATACTGGCTAAATAATGTTTTTTATGTAAATATATTTTTCATCATAATGTGTCTTTTGTGGGTGATATAATGTGTTATTATAGTCTATATTCTTTCTGGTTGCTAAAATGTGCAATTGCTGGTTGATGGTGCAATTGCTGGTTGCTATTAATAATTAAATAATAATTGTAACATTTACATAATTTGCTGTAATGACATTATACTATATAACACATGTCAAACATGCAGTCCACTTAGGATCTTACTGCCTTCCTGTGTGTTAGCAAATACAATCGTAATGATCACGTTGAATGTCATTCATTTAAAGTTTAATAAACATATCCAGACGAGAATGAGGAGAATGAAGAAGAGTCGATGGATGTGCTTCCTAAGTCAGATGTTCTCCTGATTGCTGTTAATGGCATTACATAACTTTTCTGTAAAATTCCATGAATATACCACAATGAATGCCACCTAATTTGATGCTCCTCTGTACATCCTGAGACCTGGTTTGCTGCAGATGAGTACAGTCGTGAGGATTCCAGGGTAACGTGAAGAATGTTTACACATTGAGGTAAGCAATATGTTATTTTAAGTAAATTATGTTGTTATACAAGTACTTGTATAAGAACATACAAGTACTTGCATAAGTACTTGTATGTTCTTATACAAGTACTTGTAGCCATTTGTAGTGCAATCAAGACAGGCTTATTGTTGTGTGTAAGCTATCCCCATTCACTGAAACAAACAACAATACAAAAGTTGATCTAGCCTGCCCCCACTGTTCTAATAACTATGTTGCTGTTGCAGATTTCCCCTTTCTTCATGTTTGGTGACACCATTGTCAATAATATAGCATGCCAGAATAAATTTTTCCCCCTGAACTTCAGAGAGCAGTAACAACCCAATAAGGGTTCTACTGCTTCCATGCTCTATAGAAAAAAAGCAATAGAAAAATGTTTTGTTGAACATACCGTAAACTGCGGTCACCTAGAATACAAATGAGAATGAATATAGTGAAACTTTTGAAAACATTATTTGAAGATTTTTTCAGATTGGTTTGTGTTGTAAAATTTCCACAACCAAATTTCTAAAATATTTTCCACTTTTTTTCATCAGATTTCTGGCTACTGGAGAGTGTTTTGCTTCTCTGCATTATCAGTTTTGACTTGGCAAAATAACCATTTGCAGAGTTGTGCATGTTCGTTTATCTGAATCAAGTTGAATGACTTGGCAATGACTGTCCTAACAACTGAGTTATGGAAGGCAATCAGAAGATGTTGTGAATAGCAGCAATTTTCCAAATTGTATTGGAGGCCTGGATGGAGCACATATTCGGGTGCAGCTGCCACCTAAGAGTGACTCCAAATTCTACAACTACAAGAAGTATTTCTATTTTTCATAAACTACAATTTGTGGCCATCAATATGGGCGCTTATGGCAGTGGATCCGATTCTCTAAATTCTCTAGATTTCACTAATATTTCAGCTATGGAAAAATGATTATATAAGAGAAGATTTCATATACCCGAACGAAGATATCTGTCTAAAGGAGGCGAGCCACTGCCTGATGTATTGATTATGTATTAGTGATGATGAGGCTTTGTCCACAATCATAATGAAGCACTACTTCAAAAAAGGACCGACCACCGAAAAATGTTTTCAGCTATTGGCTAACAAAAACAAGAAAATCTGTAGAATGCACATTTGGAATTTTCTCATACAAATGTGGAATGTACAATAGCACCATCCTAATGAATCCTGTCTGTGTTATTAAAAGTGCTTGTGCTTATAACTTTGTCTGACAATTTGCAGACAACACGACATGGAGGACATTGTCTGGCCAGCAGCCGGGGAGACAGTATCCCCCATATGGGATAGAAATGCTGCCTACTTCTTGACACCTGAAGTAGAATAACTCTGACAGTATTCTAAAATATAAATCTGAAGTGTGATTGTGACCTACCATTAGTTGTATCCAAGTTGTTTGTAAATTCACAGGAATCTGGAATCAGACTGAGGGTCTGTCACTGTGTAAAGATGCAGATAGTGCCTGTTTCAACAGAAAAATGGTCCCGAAACAGGCGTGAAACTGATTGACGTTAGATGAGTGTTGCTCACAAATGAGATTATCCTCTAGTCAGCCAATGCTCCTATGTCCTGCGAGAGCAGCTTGAAGCCTGACCTATAGGGAACTGTCTGGCCTACACAGCCTACTGAATTGGACACTGTGAAAGGACAAAACTAGTCCCCATTTGAACAGAGTTGGAGACTGTGGAAAGGACAGACCTGACTGAAGAACCAGTTAAGCAGAGAGGCTGAGACTGGAGCAGCTCTGTCCAAAGTAGAAATAGACAGAGCTGTGTGACAAAATAGCCAGGAGACTGAAATTGTTAAGCTAAACAACCTCTGCATGGGCAGAACACTGTTAATTTGATGTTTGGATGAATGAAATGGGCAAAAAGCTCTAAAACGCATTCTGCTAAATGGAATGGATCCTTGTAAAACTCTGCATTTGAAGCTATATTTCACAAAATACATACATCTGCTTTCAAATAATGTTCCATCACAATAAACATTTTGTTGGGTACAAATTTACATATGTAATGTTTTTCTTTTGATTAACCAAAGTTTCTGATTCTCTATCAATAGGGTGGTTTAACTAATGATAGCATAAATAGGGAAATTTAGGCAGATGGCAAAGATGTGTAATGAGCAATTACAAAAAATAAAGCAAAGGAGCTGCATGATTTTTCCACAGAAAGAAAAACATTATTGTTTACAGCACTTGAAACCCAGACATGACTTTTTAAGTCAAACAAAAGCAAAACATACACACATAGGTTGAAGTAGATGGGCCTTGTCTTTATTCAACTTCACCTACTATGTTACTATGTAAGAGGTTGCTTTTGTCAAACAAAAGAAAAAAGGTTGTTTCTAAAATATTCTTGAAATACTTCAAAAAGAAAAAGT